AACTGTGGGGTCTCTTCCAAACTAGTCCTGCACAAGCCAACAGTGTGATGCGGCAAACGCAAAGATGGCATAAGCAAGACGTGATTGAATCATCTTAATTCAACATCATCATCATCATACATGTCAGCAAGAGGTGGTGAAACACCTCCGCTATTGTGACGCAATATATAAAGGAAATACATACATAATACAATACACAAAGAAAAAAAAGATACAACAGTTGCATGCCAGCTGAGCTACCAGCAACGGATACGCATCGTTCCGGTAAGCTACCAGCCGGCTACTGGGCAACAAGAAAAAAAATTATGTTTTAACCTACGAAATAAGATCGTAGATGGAGGGTGAGGCCAAAAGAGATGGGGAGGGACAAAGAAACTCACAGCACAAACGCCACTGAGGTCGGCTCCTTGCCATGTCAGCAAGTGTATCCAGCCAAACGTGTTCACCGATTTTGGACCCCAACCAGGGAGCCGTGACGCTCCAACCGAGGCTAGCTCAGAAGTGAGGGACTTCATTCCTCTCGACCAAGTCATCGCTTGGCCACCTCTCCTCTTCTTCCACCCACATCCCCGGTGAGCAAACAACGCACGTCGAGGGAGTCGGTGGGCTGGCATGCGTAACACGTGGCCGAGCCATCGGAGCCTGGTGCGGAAAATAACGGTGCTGAGCGGTTCAGATCCTTTTCCTGGGCCGTAAACAATGCGTCGAACACGCTCGTTACTCACGCGGTGTTCCCACCAGATGTGAGCCAAACTGCGAAGGCACCGATGGTCGAACGTAACTAGCTTCTTCATGTCCGCCGATCTTAGCGGCCAGGTTTCGCAACCGTACAGTAAGGTCGAACGTACCGCTGCATTGTACACTCTACCCTTCAGGGCGAGAGTGATGTCGCGCCGCCGCCATAGGTGGCGAAGGTTAGCAAAAGCACTTCGAGCTTTCGCTATCCGGTTCGTGATCTCGTCTTCGATCCCAAGGGCGCTGATACAACTTCCCAGGTAATTGAATTTCTGAACGACTTCTAGCTGATCCCCACCAAGGGTCAGCGCAGGAGGCGATCCCTGCCAATCTTGGAGGAACGCTTTGCACTTCGCTGGTGCAAAGCAAAGCCCGAAGCGACTGACAGCCAGTGCTAATCTGTCCAGCGCGGCTTGACACGTCTGGGAGCTGTCACAGATGAGGGCAATGTCGTCTGCATACTCCAAGTCAAGAAGTCGTTCTCCTGGGAGTAGCTCCACACCTTCCAAGTCATGTCCTGTAAATGCAAACTCCATGACTTCGTCAATAGCGAAGTTGAAGAGGAAAGGTGACAGCGGGCATCCTTGTCTCACACTGCTGGAGATATTAAAGGGTGGCGACAGCTTGCCGTAAGCCCTCACTCTGCCCGTGCTACGCGCATATAATGCTCGGATAATATTTACATATTTCTCGGGCACACCTTTCCTGAGTAGACAATTCCAAAGGGCACATCGATCAACCGAATCGAAGGCACCTTTGATGTCGAGGAACACGACTACGGTGGGCCGCCAATATGTGTGACGGTGCTCCAACAACTGACGCAAGGTGAAGATGTGGTCGATGCAGCCACGACCACGACGAAACCCGGCTTGCTCCTCACGAATCTGGCTTTCACGAGCGCCAGTCAGTCTGTGAAGAATTATGGACGCGAGTAATTTGGAGACGATGGAGATCAGACTGATTCCTCTATGGTTGCCGCATTCCGAGCGCGAGCCGCCTTTGAAGATGGGAACAATAACGGAGCGGCTCCAGTCGGTTGGGACAGTCTCCTGCTCCCACAGTTTCACTAGTAATTCATGTAAAGCATCAACAAGAGCAGAGCCTCCGAATTTGAAGAGGGCTGGAGGAAGATCATCTGGTCCCGCGGCTTTGTTCAACTTCAACAGTCCGATCTCACGTTCGACTTCTGAGCGAGAGGGTGGATCCAAAGGGACAGCCCACGGAGCAGGGCGATCAGTGACCGGCGAATCGAACAATTCTAGCCGATTAAATTGCTTTTCAAAATGCTCAGCCCAACGCTCCAAGCGTTTTGACAAATTGTGGATAGGCTGTCCACTCTCGTCACGAATTGTTTCACTAACACCAGGTCTCCTGCTGCCCGTTTCCCGTATCAGACGGAATAACTTACGATGGTTACCAAGGGCAGCGGCCACTTCCATCTCTGACGCACGATAAGACCACCAAGATTCGCGGTCTCTCTTCAGGCTAGCACGGAGTTTTGCCCGGAGCTCTTTGCGAGTTTCATTGTGTTCGCTTCCAGCCGGGATATGCCGGCGAGCGTCGATAAGTTCCAGAGACAGAGAAGAGACCCAATGTCCATGTTGGCTTTTAGACATACCACATGAGGATTTGCCTGCTGCTAGTAAGGTCTGGCGAACATGTGACCAGTGACCATCAATTGTCTCCAGTGAGCGATTGCTCAACTCGCATGTCAGCGTACTTCGATACGCATTCAGAACAGCTGGCTTTGTCAGTTGGCTGGTGTCAATGCGCTCACAGCGTCGTCGTGGGCGTCCGCCAAAACGCATCCGCATGTCAGCACATACAAGTGCATGATCGGTGTCCACACATGTGCTCCAAATCGAGCGACAATTCTGGATGCAGCCTCTCCAGCGGTAACTTATCGCAATGTGATCGATCTGCGTCCAAGGCTGGTTCGAGGCTGGTGGGCGCCAAGTCACCCTTCGGCAGGTGCTGTGTCGGAAATTAGTGCTCGCAAGAAATAAGCGAGCATCTTCACACAAATGAAGTAACCGCTCACCGTTATCATTACGGGAGCCTACACCGTGTTGACCGCCCAGATGCATTCATCAGTGGACAACTTTCCAACTTGTGCGTTCATATCCCCCGCCAGCACAACAGTGTCCGTGCTTCTTCTGTGGCGAAGGAGCTGGGTCAGTTGGCGGTAGAAGTCGTTCTTTACCGAATCATCGCTACAGTTTGTGGGCGCGTAGGCAGCGATGATGAATAGACATCTATTATTCCCGCGCGACTTTGAAGCTTTGAACGAGCCAGCCAATTGGACCGCACACATCCGGCTACTGATTGGAATCCAATCAACCAGAGCAGCTTCAGCCCGGGAACTCAGGGCAATGCCAACACCAGCTTGGCCGGTGCTCGAAGCTGCATCGTCACCGGATAGGCGCAATGAGAAAATACTGCTTGCGTCACCTGAAGGGGATCGCAGAGTGAGCACAGAGCTCGAGTCTTGCAAGCGAGTCTCTGATAAGCAGCAGATATCGATCGAGAGGGTCTCTAATGTTCGGGCAAGTGCTGCCTGTTGACCGATTTGTAGCAGTGTGCGTACATTCAGGCATGCCAATCTGAAGGAGGATCGAGGGCTCCAAATGGAAGCCGATGAACTGGAATGGACCGCTTGGTTGGACATGGGCTTGTTGACAGGAGAGGAGTGACGTTCCGCGTTAGCATGTGAGTTGAAATCAGAAGATAAATGCCTAGCAAAGCATGTTTGGGGAGAGCCAAGAATCGGGGGGTTGAAAACTGGGGGGATATAAGTGAAGTTGGAAAAGGACGGTAAGAG